TACTTCCAGGCTGGACTACTGTAACTCTTTACTATCAGGATGTCCCAATAGTTCCCTAAAAAGCCTCCAGTTAATCCAAAATGCTGCAGCCAGAGTACTGACAGGAACTAGCAAGAGAGATCATATCTCTCCCATATTAGCTTCTCTCCACTGGCTCCCTGTAAAATTCAGAATAGAATTTAAAATCCTTCTCCTAACATACAAAGCCCTTAATGACAAGGCTCCATCGTATCTTAAAGACCTCGTAGAGCCTTATCATCCTAACAGAGCACTTGGCTCTCAGAGTGCAGGTTTACTTGTGGTTCCTAGAGTCCACAGAAGTAGAATGGGAGGCAGAGCCTTTAGCTATCAAGCTCCTCTCCTATGGAACCAGCTCCCAGTCTCAGTTCGGGAGGCGGATAGCCTTTCTAGCTTTAGGAGTAAGACTTTCCTTTTTGATAAAGCTTATAGTTAGGGCTGGATCAGGTGACCCTGAGCCTTCCCTTAGTTATGCTGCTATAGGCCTATGCTGCGGGGGCCCCACGATGCCCCCACCGGCCACATCAACCTGACCAATGTTTGATTGTTTGTTGTGTCTTGTTGCTTTTCTTCTTTTCTCTATCCTCTATCCACTCACCCCAACCGGTCGAGGCAGAAGGCTGCCCACCTAGAGCCGGGGTCTGTTGGAGGTTTCTCCCGTTAAAGGGAGTTTTTCTCCCCACTGTCGCCAAGTGCTCGCTGTTTTCCCTCTATAATAATAATAATAATAATAGTAGAGTCTAGACTTTACTCTATAAAGTGTCCTGAGATCACTTTTGTTGTGATTTTGTGCTAATGTAAATAAAACTGAATTGAACTGAAGATAATAAATATAATCACATCAAAATCACAGTTGCTATTTGCTTCATTGTTCCTTTTATAGAGCTGTGGTAAACTGGACAGATGTCAGTTTGCTTAATGTATGCATCATTTCCAGGCAGAGGAACCACTGGGGTGATGGTAAATGGTCTTATACTTGTACAGCGCTTTTCTACACTTTACAGCACAGTCAACGTGCTTTCACACTACTTGGCCATTCACCCATTCGCACTCACACATTCATGCACCAGTGTCATCACTGGGAGCATCTGGGGGTTCAGTGTCTTGATCAAGGACACTTTGACATGTGGACTGGACAAGCCGGGAATCGAACTGCTAATCCTCCAGTTAGGAGACGACCCGCTCTGACTCCTGAGCCACAGCCTTGAAATGTCTTTCTAACTATGGCCCAACCAGAAATAAGTATTTCTTATCATATTAACTATTTAAAGACCACTCTTTAGGATGAAAGTCAATGTGTAAGTCAATATGTGAATGTCCATGATGCTTTGAGTCCCAGAAAAGGAAGTTTACCAACAGATTTAAAAGAAGCAGTAGAGCACTACATATCCCCCACATGATAACTCCAGTAGACTCTAAATGGCCTTCTGAGGAACAGGCTAGTCAGCACTCTGCACTAAAGTGTGCATAAGTAACCTTTGGTTATGCAGGTACTAATCAGGGAACGTGTTTATATGCACTGCAGTAACCTGGTTACTTAAATCCACATACACATGAACAGATCAGTAATCAGGTGTCTTCTCTAGCCCAGACTTATTTTGGAAGCATGGCTCACTGACATTGACAAAAGACTGCTTCCTTCTTCATTTTTGTCTGATAGACTGACAGTGCAGAGGCAGGCTGTGGTGGAAAGTGACTTATTTAGTCTTATACAGGCCACTTTTAGTTTTAGTTGGAATTTGAGTGGCCTTTTCTCCATTTAATGATCTCCTTTCATTCAGCTACTACACTCCACTACCTACCCTGTCTGCAGTCTTTTGTAAAAAAATCAGATTAGAAACTTGAGCAGGAGTTTACATGGCAGAGAAACAGGCGTTCCTCAGCAGAAAACCAGGTTTCTCTAATCCCCGTACCCTGATTGTGGACACCAGGTTTCTCATTTACTGTACATGACAGTTAAGAAATCAACTGACTGGAGAAAGCTGACTGTAAGCTAACCAGCTGCATGACTGCATGTAAATTCTATTCACAGCCACTGTGAGCTCCGTATGTTTAATTTCGAGTGACAACACACTCACCCTCCAGCCATCCTAATGTATCATCCAACTTCAGGTCAACACGCCTGCCCTCACTAAGATGCCGAGAGATAACTGGCCGGTTCCCCCTGTAGTCTGCCACCGTCCCAGTATAAAGCTCTCCATCTGAGAAACAGAAAAACGCATTATAATTACATAATACTGAACAGTTAGAGATGTCCTGAGTCAATCAGTACTGGGGCCAGTCAGTTAAAATGAAGCTGATCAAGTGCTGATACTCATCTACTTTTACTCTGTCACACATTCATCCATTTCAGCAAATAGTAGTTACCTTTTTATTAATATTCAGTTTTTGTTGATACTTGTTTGTGTCTCCCCTCAGTTATATGGTTGTTTTGAGATGGCAGCTACTTTGCAGTTAGAGTTGTCGACTGGCATATGGAAAGGTGTTTCTGCTCCAGGTTTTCTTCACTATTACATAACAAAAATAATGTCAGTAATTAAACTATAACATTACTGAGTGAATATCTCCACCTAAAAACCTCAAGCAATATGTAATAGCTTTCAAATGTGCCGCCTCAGAGTGAGAGGTTATGCTATGCTGCTATGTCCAGGGGTTAGCAGATCATGGCCTTTTAACAAGACGTGATTGCTGAACTCTTGCACCATCACAGTAACTAGACTGATGCAAATACCATGAAAATGTTTTGTCATAACAGCTTTTCCTCCTTCTTATTGCTGCAGATGCTGGAGGTCATTCCACCGACTTTAATAAATTTCCAATAAACTTCTGTAGCATATTGAGCAGGATTGCAGTGAACAACAAAATGATGCCTAGCACCAGGGGCTCCATGTTGCAAGCTAGTAGGTCAAGGTCAAAGTGTTTATTTGTCATATGCACAGTTAGGAAACGTGTTTCCCTGTACAATGAAATTCTTAGTTTGCCATCCACATGAATGCCACAAAATACAAAGGAAATATAAAGTAGATAAATAAGTAACACAAAATCTAAGGCACTTTAAGCAGCAAATGCAGCAGTAAAATAAAAATATATAAGAATATAATAGGAAAATGTATGCTGCATGGGAGCAGCATGTGCAGCAGTCAACTGTCAATGTGCAATTATGCATGTGCAAACTGAGAATGTAAACAGCAAAGGTCGACAGTACATGATGTATTTCCTGGTAATAAACTCCTCAACTGTTTAGGAGTCTGATGGCAGAGGGAAAGAAAGAGTTTTTCAGTCTAGTGGTCCTGCATTTCACACTTCTGAACCTCCAGCCAGAGGGTAGGGAGACAAACAGTCCGTGCTGGGGGTGGGTGGGGTCCTTGAGGATGAAGGCAGCTTTCGTACGCACCCTGTGGTGGTAAATGCTCTGCAGAGAGGGCAGTGGAGTCCTGGTGATCTTCTCCGCAGTCTTTACCACTCTCTGCAGGCACTTGCGGTCCACCAGACAGTGATGCAGCTGGTCAAGATGCTCTCAATGATGCAGCTGTATAAGTTGCAAAGGATCCTAGGCGACATACCAAACTTCCTCAGCCTCCTCAGGACATACAGCCGTCGTTGGGCCGTCTCGACCAGTTGTGTGGTGTTAAGTGTCCAAGTGAGGTCCTCACTGATGTGGACGCCCAGGTACTTGAAGCTGCTCACCCTCTCCACTTCGAGCCCCCGGATGAACAGTGGTCGATGAGATCTCCTCTCCTTCCTCATGCCCACTAT